TTGCCGGATAACTTCATGCGCAGAGGATGTGAGGGAAAAGTTTGGGAACTAGAACAAATTTGAATTTAAATTTTGACCTTTTTTGATCATTCAGCCAATGCTTACCTTGGTTGCTGAGATTTCATTACACGGTCCGTGTCGACGCCAGTGCTGCTGACCACGTCCGCAGCCGGTACCGCCGCCGCCTCTTCGGCACTCACACTTCGATGCTTTTCACGAGCCGTTTTGTTCGCGTTCGTTGGAGTCGGAACTCCACGAGGATTATGTAGAGAAATCGGTGAATTAACGGGTTTGAGAAGACCTGAAATTTTTAAAAAATTCAAATAGGTGAAATAGGCCGTTAACTATGAAACACTGTAAGGAACGTCTCGACATCAACAAATATATATGTCAATTTTTATAATTCATGAAAATCGCAGGTAACTATAGTGCAACAGAAATGCAAAATTAGCGCCAATCACACGACCCACATCGCCCATAAATCGCTCGCCGAAAAAAAAAAACAACGTGAAAAAGGGCAGCACTTTTATGTCATGCACAGCCAATGGAAAACACGGGAAAAAAAGAGCAAACAGAATTCTTTGAAGGCGCAACGGAGAAATTCCAGGCTTTCTACAACTGTAATAAGTACTGGCCTGAGGTGCAATAATGGCGCCAGTAGTACACTTTTACTAGTTTGAGCCACCGCCACAGAACACGCCAGGTAGTGCTCAGAAGTGGAACCGTGCGGAAATTTAGGTGGCAGAAAACTGGCGTTACCTCATAAACCACAAAGTCACGAAACTTTCACCAGCACAGCCACCAACGACGGTGATGGTAACGATCGCGGTAACGCATAATGTAGAACTAGTTCCACCATGAAGTTTACCGACAGTTATACCTGTCGCTCACATATCACAGCAAGCCTCTACCATATGACCAGTGGTAATTACAAAGGCGACATTCACAGGACATTCACAGGTGTAATGAGCCAATTAGCGCCGAAACACGGCTCTATAGGCGCTATTTAATTTTCATTAGGTGTCATCAGATCACGACAACAGTGTCCAGTAGCCGGTAAGCACACAGGCATCCTGCGAAAGTAAACACCGACGAGAAACCCGGTAACCGGCGAGCAAAAAAACTGCTGCTGCTACACAGAATCGTGACTGCAGCCGTGGCGGCGGTACGAAAGAGTGAGTAATCGCCAGCGTTTTCGAAACGCCTCCGTCCGAAAGAGTGTTGTACGTTGCGAAATACACCTGTAGAAGGACGTACCAGCGTCTGTCTGCCCCGAGCCGCGATCGTCTAGAACAATTTTCGGCGTAACTTTGTGAGAAAAGTGCATAGCCTTCGACGGGATTGCGTTGATAGTTCCGGATTTTTCGCCTCTTTCTACTGCTATGCTCATCTCGTCACAATCCGGGACGTGACCACAACAACAAAAGTACAAGCACATGCGCTAGTGCAGCACTACATAACAACAAGAACGTCGTGAATGCAGAAACTCGACCATGGAGACCAATGTTCAAGCGCGTGCATCCAAAACAACCCGAGTTCAGATAAATCTCTACAGATTGACCTCCGGTTTACGGACTGCTTGAACTTTCTTATTGGCCATGCCACGAATGGTGGACAGCACAGACGATTAGAGAACGGCACCTGGATCGGCTCTAACAAGGGAGGTCGTTCAGGGTGTGCCAAGCTTTTTCAAAATGGTTTTGTGCATGTAGGGACCAGGTATGGCAAAAAAACCCATGTTTCATTCGCTGAACGGTTATAGCAGTACCAAAAAAGAAGCATAAGGTACTGTTAAGGGTTCGATCCCCGTGGCGACTAAATTTTGCATTTGGGTTGGCGCCTACGGTTTGGTGCCAAATCGCGCTAAATATCAAAATCAGATGTCAAATTCATCGTCAGGACCATTTTGAAGCCAACAAGTGGCCGCCAACCTTGATTGCAAAATTTAGTCGCCGGGGGATTGAACCATCAAGAGTATTATTCACTTTTTTGGTACTACTAGAACCGTTCAGCGAAAACGAAACATGGTTTTGTGGTTCATACATGTGTCCCTAGAAAATGTACTAAAACGTTTCCAAAAAGCGCAACTTGCCTTGGGAAGACTTCTTGTAAAATCCGCGAGAGACCAGGACTCAGCATTGCAGAGCAGGAGCTTCCGAGGTGGGTGAGCAACAGGCAAAAGTTTGAGTGTGTGGGTTAATGTGGTCATGAGCCGCTGAAAGGTGAGAAAGTGTGCAGACGAGAGCGTGAATTGAGGCAGCTTAAAGGATCAAGTTCAAGCAGTCCGTCGACCGAATGACCTCATTGAAAACAACAACACTGGGCTGTACCATGAGAGAAGAACGACGCAATTAGAAAGAAAATTTTGGGACTTTCTAAATTAATTAAGGCAATTTTATTCACTTCCTTCCGATAATCTAGTTCAAGGCAATAAACGAGAAGAGGATCTCTACTCAAAAAAGCGCGTGTGAGCGACTTCAGGAAATCTAGGACGCTCAATCTGGTGAACGGGTCATTCTTGGGAAAACAACGCAATGTAAAGGCAAGGAAGGGTAGAAGAAAGACAGAAATTAAAAAAAAAAGATAAAAAGACAGAGTATGACAAAAACCCGAGGCAATCAATCAACACATGTGACAGTATTGGAACGCAATGAGGAAGCATTAACATTCGTTTAATTGAAAACACAACGAGCGGAAGAGAAAGCAGCATCTCTACGACCCTGATAAGTGATGACTCAATATCAGCCAGCCTTGGGAAACCAAGCAACGCTGAACCCGCTGATTTTCCACCAGGCATCAACCAGCACCGCCAAATGGGTGTGGCTTTGTGATGATCCGCCGTCACCCCGCTGTGAGCACCGACCAACCAGCCGATAGATAACCTCACACCGATAGATAACACAGTATTTGAACTGTAGATAAAATATCCAGCGTTGATGACATAGTGTGCATTGTGCTCGAAAAGCACGAGGTCGGCGCCACCTGGTGCGGTCACTGCAGTCGGCGGACTCAGCGGTAAAACGTAATTAATCATACATTACTGATTTCGCGCGCACGACCGTCAACCTCTCGACAGCTGATCTCGCGCCGACCCCTGGGTTGTACGGGGGCGATGCACTCAGCTACAAAGCTGTATTTTTGCAGACGAAGCAAAATATAAACCACAAGGATGGCGGAAATTTGCAAATTACTTCTCAAAAAAGCAGTTCTAAAAGATAGCGTAGGAGAGAGCAAAGTATCGCTCCAACAACTAGCTCAATATTGCGTAATTGCGCGCCAATATGATGACATCCCTACGAAACGTTTCGAAACGCCGAGTTTATCGCGTCAGCATAGCGAGAACGCATTTGACAAAATGAAGGCTGACTTTGAACTTCCATAGTTTCAGGACAACACGCGTACGTTCACCGCCGTCGGTCAAACGACTTTTATAGTGTTGAGCCGGCTTGTGCTCGGCCACGCCCCTTCCTAGTAGGTCTCAAGGGCAGACATTCTGCTCCAATAGGGACGTTGCTCAGCCGATCGCACTCTCGTTGTCGCCGCGTTCCGTTCAGGCGAACATTCGGCACGTGGATTTGCCGCCGGCATAACAACATCGTTGAACACGGAAGTCCGATCAAAAACCGCTGTCGTTCGCCTCCACATCACTCACTCAGTCTCGTTTCAAGGCTTAGAATTCGAGACATCGTGGAATAGGACATGGGATCAGAGACCACGACTTTAAAAATTCTTAAATATTTATACGTCTAGGGAAATTTAATGGCACATTAAGAACAGCTTATAAGTCTTATGAATCACACGGGAGAACAAAGCCTAACGCCTCTTACGCGCTGAGACATCGTCAACACGAGATGGAGCTGTTAGAACCCTTCCCTGATTCACGTGCATTATTTACAGTTACACTCTGAGACAAGGCTTTTCACACTTGTCAAACTCGAGAACCACCACCCGCGCTACTACAATCTTTTTCAGCAACGCACCGCAGGCACGAATCCAGCTGGGGTTTGGCTGCAGCTCAAGTGCAATCGAACTTTGTCGGTCTCTCATTGATTTCAGTTGCCTCTCATCCGTTGTTATGCTTTCTTTGAATCTATCTTGCAAACTGCAACGAATTAGTGTAACAGATGCACAAGCGGATCTTTGCGCATTCTCCCTATCCGATTATCCGCAAGAGGAAATTCATTAAATGAGCTATCCGAGTAAACAGATTGGCCTTTTCTTGAGAAGTTCACCGTGGGAACATCAGATTGATGTTCATCTGGGATAAAACATCCTCAATCTAATGCCCTTCTTCATCCACCTGCAAATGTTTTAGCTTCCTCCTTCAGGAAGTCTCGAATCTTTCGACTTGGCAAGCTCATAGTATCAAGGGTAAAATATCCGGTGTTGATCGATCCCTTTTCGAGATGCGCCACGCATTCCACATCCTTTTAAAATTCGCAAGGCATTTTGAATGCAGTGTTGGCCTATACCAATGACCTGCGGGGCCAGCCGATTTACAGTCAGTATTACTTATCCTCCCGGACAATTCTGTTTCCAAGTAACTGAACCGGGTACCCCCCAGGAGGCCCGTCGCGCGGCAAGAAGGCAGAGTCGCGGACGAGTCGCAGCGCGTGATGTGCGATGTAGGACGTGCAATGGAACATTCTATTTAACTTGACGCGAAATCCCTACAGTACGCGCGCAACTCGTCCGCTGACTCGCCTTCTTGCCGCGCGACGGGCCTCCTGGGGGTACCCAGAAACCATAGGGTGAAATGGCTTTGTCAGCCTAAACGACGCACGATACAGTATTCGATCCAGGACCGTACACACGGTAAGTAGCGCCACTTGCCACTACACATTCTGCGCAATTACCTTTTATTTTGTAAGGCCATACTCTATCCAAGCAACGGACGTGCCTACCACACACAAAACAACAACAGCTCGTCTTACTTCCATTAATAATGTGAAGCATCGTATTTCAAAACATTACCACGTGTGGGCACATTCAGTAACAGACGTCAACATCAACAACACTTCACTGACGAAGGCAACACCACGTAAATATCAGCCCATGGCAGTACTGACACTGCCAGCAATAAGAAATGAACCCACTCCCCACCAGGCAGTACAAGCCGTCATATCGATCACATTTGGCCGTAGTATTGTGGGAAGGAAGCTGTTATGAAAACAAGCCACAGATTTCGTATGAATTGACTGTTTTCCAACGGTTACCATGTTACCATGAAGGTAGCAATAACAGAGAAGAAAGGCGACATAAACGATAAAACGGCTTTCTCAGAACACTTCAACGATTAGAAAAAACCTCGCTGTGTAAACAGAATTAATGCATTGGATAGAGGCAAAAACTATAAGGAGGTCTCTCGCCCCTAGCAAATTGGAAAACGAACCGCAGATGGTTACCGCTTTAGTAAACCTATAAAAATGTATAGATTCGACCGCTCTACTTAACTCATAGACCAGCATTACTGAGCAAGGGCGTTAGAGCTACATATTTAGAATAGAAAGCAGCAAATTAGCTAGAACGATTTTGTCGTTTGTTAACCCACAGATCGAACCCCAGCATCTGCTAAACAAAACCGACAACACAAACACCCAACAAAAACAAACCCGCTATGTCCTCGCGGCCTGATGGTCAAAAGAGCGTTTTTTTTTTCACAGAATTCAGAATAAAAAATTCAAACAAAATTCAAAAGTTTTCAGATTTCTTTGAAGTTTCCTGGAAGTAGCACTTCCTTTGAAACCCATAAATTTTTTACATTAAAGTAAAAAACCCAAACAACTATGAAAAAGCTCGGCGCATGACCAGGATATGATTTATTCCGGTGCTAAATTCAATGAACGATCAGTGTGCACACGCAGAGAACGAATGGTGGCATTCATTTCCTCAAACAAACCATGAAAAGTGGCACAAATTAGAGCCGAAAGAAAAACGATTCGTTATTTTAGTATCAGTCATTTCCTTTCCTTTTCGGCGCAAGCTTTTTTTTCAGAGAATCCATTTTTTGAATATTCAATTATTTTTCCCTCAAAGTGTTCCAATATTCGAAACATTTCCCCAGTTTCAATTCTCGCAGTATTATCGGTGCCCTAGTGATTTCTGTGATCCGTCGCGCGCTTCGCGCGATTCGCGCGACTGATCACGGACTCTGACACCAGCCTATGGAAAACGCAAACAATGCTCAGTCAAGATGAAAACCCCAATAAACGTAAAGCGGGGAACGACCTTAAGGGTTCACTACCTTAAAGTCGGCATTAATGGCACTTAATTACTCCCACCTCAGTCTTACATATGACAGGTAGCAAAACGCAGAAAGAACGCCATGAAGAGGCGAAAGCGCGACATATGGTTCTGAATGGCCATTAGCTCGACGTTGAATCGAGAATA